GATCCTGCTTTAGCCTCCTGAGTGCTGGGATTACAGAGGGGTGCCACCACCCCAACTAAGAGATGCATTTAAAACACTGTATCTTTCAAAAGATTCTACTTGTACTTTATTTCCTACTGCATAATAAAACTTGGCAGACCTTTCTGTGTAAGTCGATACAAGAGATATGTCTAGAGTAGCTGTTGTCCTTTGATGGCTTTTTCCTGATTTCGAGACTCTTACGTGCAGTGGCCATCTGCTTCTAGGATGGGCTAAGCACACTGAAAGCATCAGTGAAGTGTGAAGTGCAGTTTTTATTGGAAGTCAGCTGCCTTGTAGCTGGTGTTTGCTTATTCTATAAACTTACAGAAGAATTAAGGAGTCTTAAGGAGACTGGCTTAACACCAAATTTGGTTGGACTAATGACTTCTAAGATTCTTTCTAGCTCTGACAGAAAATTTTCAAAGTCAGCTTTTAAGATGGTGAAGCAAACCTTCCTTGTAAGTGCAGTCCAATAGGCAGGATCTGGAAGGACAGGGTGAGACCCTCCCAGGTAGCAGCAGTGACCCACAATTGGTAAAACTACTAGGCAACACTAGCAGGCATGTCTACTGAAAGCTGTCCCAGTGCATTCTAGAGGCCAGGAGAGGTGGATCAACTGCTTCTTTTTATCTGTGAGCTGTCAGCAGGGCGGTAGCAAAGTGTCCTGGAGAGGGGCTCAGGACTGGATGATACCGCTGTTTGCCAGGCAACTAAACCACACCATTACTGTCCTGGGGCTCCTTTAGGATCAGGAGTTGAGGAGAGTAATGCTGCGCTTACCTTTTTGAAAATGACACTGATAGCCTGACACAGCTCTTGAAAATGATTATAGATTCTGCCTTAAATGTATACTTGTTAAAAAAGCAGAGTTGTTCTGAGCAGTCTCTGACTAGGACAACTGCCCGCCCTGCTCTTCCCAGGCTCTTCACTGCTCCTGCTCGTTCTTAGCTCCACAGCTGGTCGCTGACGGGGACCTGGTGCAGTCCACCCGGCCTCTCCCCTCTGTGCCAGCCAGACAGGAAAGGTAGAAAGGAGCTCCAAGTGCAGGGCAAATGAATGCGAATGAAGAGCTAGGTCAGACTGTGGGGGGAAGAGGGCGAATCTTTCCCAACAGCCCTCCTGGCTCTGATGGCCTCTTCCTCACCACAGGTCACATTCTACAGGGGCGGCAGAGGGGGACAGGGCATGTGCTAAGCAGACTCACACCATCCTTCCAGTGCCTTCAAGCTCTCCTCACCCTTGGCTCCTTCCTGGGTGCCTGAGATGCATCGGGCTGTCTGAGCCTCAGGGGAAGCAGCACTCTCTATGAAGTGCTGTGACTCTGGATCCATGCAGGGGGCTGAGCACTGAACTGGAATTCTGTCTGTGACCACAAAGCCTGCTTTTGAGTCTGCTTACCTAGGGATGGAGGAGATCTGTAACTTGATACCAGGATGATTATCCTGTCCTGCCTCAGGTATTTGGGGTGTTGCTGGAACTTGGTCCTTGTCCTCTACAGGAAGACAGGACTCTCCAGGTTCCATTTTCCTTGACAGCTCTTCCATCGATCTGGTATTAGTTGCAGCAATTAAAGAGTCAGAGGCAGTTCCTGTGTATGTAAGAAAGGGAAGGGAAACATGATTTAGTAATTAAACATTTAAAGATCAGTAAAATGAAAACATAATGTATACAATGATTCCCCAGTGATCTTCATGAAGTCCACATATTAAAGAGTGAATTACATGAAGTGGCACTGATAACTAGCTTCTCCTAACAAGTCCCATGGCAGTGGCCTCCGACATCAGGCCTCCCTGCTGACCCGCCCTCCACGGAGCCTCCGGCCTAGTGCCCAGGACACACTGAGCACATCTCCGGTCTTCTTTACTCCTGAGCCCTCCTGTACAGACTCGCTGGCCTTTTAGCCTTATACCATACCATGGATCGATTTTCTTGACTTACTTGACTAAATTTCCCAAACTCCTCTTTACCCGGGGATGACTACATAGTTATCATCTTAAACTGTTAGTAAAATGTATCTTATGTTAGCTTAATTCCCACAATGGCTCAACCACAACCACCAAAATGAAAGGAAGTAAGGTAGACCAAGATAGGCTGAGGCCCTAAGAATATCTGCTGAAGCACTTATCCCACTGAGCTATTTCCCCAGCCCCCACAATGCCAAATATCTGAACTGCAGTATTCCAGTCTACTACTGAGTTTATTTATTCTGACATTTCCAAGAGTGGTGGATTACTTGGCTATAATTTTGCAGTGCTTGTTTCCTAGGTAAATCTAGTTTAAAAAAAAAAATTATTTATTATTTATTTATTTGTTACAGGATCTTGCTATGCAGTTCAGACTCATAGTGACTCTCCTCTCTCAGCCTCCCCAGTGCTGGGATTATAGGTGTGTACTACTACATCTGGTTCGGGGCCGGCATGGCATGCAGTACTGGGGATTGAACTCAGGTCCTTGTGCTCGCCAGGAAGGTGCTTAGACCCTGAGCTAACTCCCCAGCCCCTAAATCTGTTCTTAAAGGAATCAGTTGTGTCACTTTATAAGAAGTATCCACTTTATTTTTCAAGTTAACTTGTTTCATCTTTCTGTTCAAATAGCAAGTATTACTTATGGTAATCATATGCCACTCACAGTGCCTGGCACACTAGCTCTCACGAGAACGTCTTCTAAATGTTCTGATCAAGGACAGTAATGGCTAAAGATTCCCACAATGGTTAATTAAAGAGCTAACATGAGTTTAGATGAGTGCTGGTGGGTTTGTTGTAATTAAACACAGAACTTAACCCTAGGCATCTCTTCCTTTTGCCTTGGTCTTTTCTGACAAAGAGTCACTGTCTTCCTCCACTGGAGCTCCAGGAAGGCAGGACGCTCCAGGCTGCTCTGGTGGAAATGAACTGTGTTCGGTTTTGGGCACATATATATTTGTAATAGTAGAAATAAATGAGTTGATGGCAATGGCTAAAAAGGTCAGGCCATGAAAACGAAGAAGTGAGAGGTGTGGGGGGAGGGCGGGGGGGGGTTTTACCAAAGTAACAGTACCTTGTGTAGCTCTGTTTTGATCTTGCAAAATATTCAGAACAACTTCCCGCAACTCTTGTATTGGCTGGAGGGAAGAAGAAAATAAAGAAGTGCTATTAAAAGTATTCCTGGGGCAAAAGCCAAGGAACTTTAACATCAAATAAACTTCTGGTAATAAAAATGTTTCTTTTGAAAATCTCTTATCTTTCTATAAACAGTATTTGAAAGTTTTATAATGTCATGAGAAAAATGGAGGAACAGAGAAAATGCTGGGTAAATGCCGACTTCAGTGAAAGGTGTGTTTGAAGTTGTCCATAACAAAATTCTCTAAATCAAATCCTATTTTCCTTTTAACTTACATAAAGGTTCTGGCCCAAAGAGTGAAGTACCATATAGAAAACGTATCACATATTTTTAGTGTTGTCTTAGTTTAAGTCTTGTTTTCATCATAAAAATCATATACTATAGGGCTGGCCAGATAGCTCGGCAGACTAAAGCAACTGCTTAGGCAGGCACAGGGACTGGGGTTCGATCCCTGGCACCACAGTGAGGGCCCTGTCCCTGGGACATGAGAAGGAGACTGAGACTGGGCGTGGTGGTACACGCCTGTAATCCCAGTTGGGAGGCTGAAAACAGGAGGATTACTACAAGTTCAATCTGTGTAGGGAGACCCTATATGTCCTGTACTAAATACATTAAAAAAAAAAAAATACATCCCATTTCAGAAAAATTAAATTTCACAAAGAAAATCACTAACAATCCAGGAAGGAGACTGGAAGAGGCTGCTCTAGAGAACCTAAGTACTTTAAGAGGAAAGCTCTAAAGATGCTGATATTGAGGGTTCTTTACTAAACCACTGACACCAGTTCACTCTATGTAAAGCCCCACTCATGTGCCTAGGCTTTTACTACTGCATGCTTTTTCAAACCCACCTCTTATACACAAACAGCCCCAGTTTACCAGCATCTGAGTAAAGCCTTTAGTGAATAATAGAGAAAAACCAAAATAATAATAATAATGATGAGAAAAGAGAGAGAGGGAGGGAGGGACAAAGTGAAGCAAGTAGGAGAAGAAGCAGGGAATGTAAGAAAAGGTGCCATGGGCTCTGGGAAGCAAGAGATCCACCCAACTCAGGAAGGATGTGAAAGGTGACTTTGGGTGACATTGAGGAGGTCCCACAGTGACAGCAGGCAGACAGGAGAACAGAGCAATAGGTCCAGTCAGGAATAACAGGAGAGTCTCAAAGAAAAAAAGAAGAAGAAGAAGAAAAAAAAAGGTAAAATCTGAGGTTTTAAAAGCACTTAGAAACATAGAAAAGAATATGAAAAGTAATTACAAAGGCAAAATAAGACAATAATTAATTATAGGAAAAGAAGAAGTTGTGTTTGAAGGGTGGTAACATCAAAATTTCCAACACAGGTCAACACATCCATGTTTCTTATATATTCATAACAAGGTGAACACTAAGGACAGTAGAATTTCCATGGGACTCTAATGGAGCACGAAGGCTGGCAAAGGCCCCTGAGGATGACAGCAGGTGTGTGTGTTCATGTGCTAGAGATTTGTGCAGCTGTGTGTGGGTGGGGCTGAGGCCTCATCCTGCATAGCTGAAAGTCTACAAATTATGTATATAACGGAAACATAAAAACCAGCAATGAGGGCCAGGAAGATAGCTCAGCAGAATAAGCACTTGCCTGGCAAGTGCAAGGTCTTGAGTTCAATCCCCAGTATCACAAAAAAACAAAAAACAAAAAACCCAAAATCAAACCAAAAGCAAAATGAGCAATGAGGGCTGGTGAGACAGCTCAGTAGACTAAGCGCCTGCATAGGCAAGTGCAGGGACCAGGGTACGATCCCTGGTCTGGCATGCCGCGCCGGGCCCGCCCCCGGGGTGCACTGAGCCAGCGACTGAGTCCAGGTGTGGTGGTGCATGCCTGTAATCCCAGTGCTAGGGAGGCCGGGACAGGAGGATCACTACGAGTCCAAGCTGCATAGTGAGACCCTGTACCAAATACATAAATCAAAAAAATAAACAAAGCAAACAAAAATAACCCAGCAAGGCAAGCATGCCTTCTGGAATTATAGAGGTAAAAATATTAAAATAATCATTGTGATCTGGGAGTTAGAAAATGTGAGGGGAAGGAGGCAGAAGTTCCACTGAATGAACCTTACTGATTATTTGACTGTTGAAATGGTGTGTACGTAATACTCTGAGAACAACCATGGAAATAGGTACCGTAGAATAGTAATAGGAGATGGAAAATGGCATTCAAGTGAAAAGAATTATGAAATTATTTGATGCAGTTCTTGTTAAAAAATTATACACTATGCTTTTGCTCCAGGTTTTGGAATTAAAAAAATATTTTATGCTATATCTTCTGCATTATTAACATATGGATACTGCTATATTGTGCTTAATATATTTTTACATTCATTATAAGCATTAGATATTGACGTTACAAATGTCTGTGCCATTACTTTCCATAACTGCATATTTTTACAACTAGTGCTAAATGGGACATAGTCACTCTGCATGTCATGCTGTTTCCTATGAAATATTTAAATAAGTTCACTAAAGATATACTGAATTGCATATGCTGTGTATCACTTTATGAAGTGAGTTAAGAGTTTAACACTGTAGGGCTGGGGAGATAGCTTGGTGGTCTAAGTGCCTGCCTAGCAAGCACAAGAACCAAGTTCGATCCAGCTGACAGCTCTGTGCCAGCCCTGAAACTGCTTGGTGGCATGCACACCTGTAATCCCAGTACTAGGGAGGCTGAGACAGGAGGATCACTCTCTGAGTCTGAACTGAGTAGTGAGACCCTGTACCAAACACACAAACAAACAATTTAACACTGAATTATACAACTATCATCTTATGAACCAGAGTGAAATCCTACCAAAGAGAATTTTAAGAAGTCACCCATCCAAGAGACACTCACTTTTGCTCCATTTTTAATGGCCTCTTCGTATAGCCCAATGACATCAAAGGTGCCTTTTCTTGCCAATAGCTTTGCTTTGCAGATCCAGAATTTAGCAAATTTTTCAGCCTCAGGAATGTTGGACAAAATGGCAAATATTTCATTAGAAAGTACACCCTGGAAAAAAGAAAATACCCAGAGGTAATCAGCACCATCTCACTATGACTTGCTTTGCTTTTCAATTTGGAAGCAGATGCTTTCTATTAACTGACCAAATCCTAAGAACACCATGGTGGATACCTTCGTTCATCCTTCTAATAGGCCTGTTGGTCTGGTCTTTCCTATTTCTAGCATCTCCACCTTCCACAAAATGGTTTCCCATCACTCTCACATCCCCTAACAGTTATCACAGAAGGTATGCAAAGATATGTAAATATATCACAGAAGCTACACAGGCACTGGTCTGATCATTGGAGCTTTTCATTTCATTTTATTTTTTTTACATTTATTTATTTATTTATTTATTTAGTGTGTGTGTGTGTGTGTGTGTGTGTGTGGCCAGCTCAGCCCACCAGGGGGCGGGGCTGGCTGGCATGTGGTGCTGGGGGATTGAACCTCGGTCCCTGTGCTTTGCCAAGCTTGTTCCAAGTAGGTGCTTTAGACCACTGAGCCATCTCACCAGCCCCATAAATAATTTTTTTTTTCTTTTTTGGCAGAACTGGGGATTGAACTCAAGCCCTTGTGCTTGCCAGGCAAACACTTATTCTACTGAGCCATCTCCCAGGCCCCTTTTGGAGCTTTTAAAAATTCCAACTTTACTGAGGTATCCCTTAGCATATATAATAAAATGTACCCATTTTAATTGTGTGTTTGAATAATTTTTGACACTGTTCATTAGATTTTAAGAGCTATGTAAGCTCAAATAGAGAAACAATATTTATCAAAGCAGAAGGTAAGGAACATGTTTTACATTTTTATGCAGTGAAAAAGCAAAACCAGGACTGAGGATGTAGCTCAATGGTAAAGCGCTTGCCTAGCAATGTGTAAGACCTTGGGTTCAATCTCCAAAAAACAAACCAAACCAAACTAAACCCTAGAGTTGTCAACAGTTCTCAAATAATATTCACAATGCTATATAAATAGGAGCAGTAAACAGTGGCCAGAATTCCCATATGACACTTAACAACAGAATGAAAGCTGGAACAGGTGTGCAAAGGCCAGAGGTGATGGTTATGAAAGGGTTAATGCCAAGCCAGCAAGATAGCTCAGTGGACTAAGCGCCTGCCTAGGCGAGTGCAGGGAC